CTGTTTTAAATAGTGTTCATATCGATATCGGAATTATATCGTATCGACCGAAATTAAGAAATATATTGTGATATAAATGTTGGCCATATCGTCCAGCCCTAGTCTGTTCCCATATCTCACTCCTGTCCTTGGTTTAATGCAGAGCTACGTGCTCTGAAGGCAAAAAGCAGACAACTTGAACGTCTTTTTAGGAAAACGGGAATACAAAATTCTTCTGCTCACCTTTAAGGCACTCAAAGGTCTTGCTCCCTCCTATCTTTCCGACCTACTTTCTTCTTATATACCTTCTCGCGCACTCCGGTCTTCTAATTCTGAACTTCTTTGTGTACCTAGGTTCCGCCTATCTTCAATGGGCGGCAGGTCCTTCTCTGTTACTGCACCCAAACTTTGGAATTCACTTCCCCTGGCACTCAGAACAGTCACCTCTTTCAGTGAATTCAAATCAAAGCTTAAAACTTATTTGTTTAATCAACACTATCACTAATGTACATTGTGTATTTGTCTGTTTTGTTTTCTGTTTCTGTCTTTTCTACATAATCTGTGTTATATGCAACTGCATTATTTGTAACTGAATTGGGCAAATGTCCAATGAAATTGTTTCTTTGTAATCAGTATTTGCTGCTTTGGTGTACCTTGTAGAGCGTCCTTGAGCTTGGGAAAGGCGCTATATAAATTAAATATATTATTATTATTATCGTGTTATTAATAATATAAAAGTTATATAAAAGTTATATAAAAATTGATCTCTAGTAATTATACATTTAAGTAATTTAAGTAAAAGTAACATTTAATAGTAATTATTCATAATTTACTGTTTTTACTTTAGTAAAAATAAATTTGTAACAAGGTCACTGTAAAAATAAAGTGTTAACGAAAAAAAAAATGTTTCCGTTATTTAAGCATTTGACCATATTCGGATATTGATTTTGTAATATCAAATCCACCGATGTGTTATAATTGTGTCAGTGCATATCGGTTATCGTGCACATAAACATGCAAATAATCTGTATCGTATCGGTTATAAAATAATTGATCTGTAGCAATTAAATAATATAAGTAATATTAATTATGCATAATTTACTTTTCGATTACATTTGACCTAACTTTATCACATGGATTTGAATAGGATTATTTTGTACCATATTGATAAAAATAGGAAGAGAAAGAAAACACATTTTATTGTTTGTTATATACAACATGAAGTGCATTAAACATTACTTTAAGTCAGGGTTTCCCAAACTGGAGTTTGTGAGTTTATGAAAAGCTAATAATTTAAATCATAAAAATGTCAAATTAAAGAAACAAACTGCTTTTAAAATTAAGACAATCAAAATAAAACCCTTTGGGTGAACTCTCCCTTTAAGTTGATCTTTGCTGTGGTTTTGATTGAACAGTATGTTGAGGGTGTGTTCTGATTGGTCAGTAGACATGTGGGAGGTGCCGTTTGAGGAGATCTCTGAGCTGCAGTGGCTGGGAAGCGGAGCTCAGGGTGCCGTGTTCCTCGGGAAGTTCCGCTCCGAAGAGGTCGCCATCAAGAAAGTCCGAGAGCAGAAGGAGACGGATATCAAACACCTGCGCAAGCTGAAGCACCCCAACATCATCAGCTTCAAGTAGGTTGCAATGAAAAACCAGCTAGTCGCAGTCAATATGCAGTTTTGAGTTTGAAACTAAAGCGTGCTGTTTGTGTTTCAGGGGTGTTTGCACGCAGGCCCCGTGTTACTGCATCATCATGGAGTACTGTGCTCAAGGGCAGCTGTACGAGGTTCTCAGGGCCGGTCGTAAGATCACACCGCGGCTGCTGGTGGACTGGGCCTCAGGGATCGCCAGCGGCATGAACTACCTGCATCTCCACAAGATCATCCACAGAGACCTCAAGTCACCAAAGTAAAACCTGTGGGATTTGAGGATTATTTATTTACTATTATAGTATTTATATATAATATTTTGAATTAGCTTTTATCTTTATATTATTAGTAATTTAGTTATGTGCCTTTGTCATTTTTAATATTTAATATTATTTAAATTTTAATAGTTTTAATATATTTTAATATTAATATTTTTAATATTTAATATTATTTAAATTGAAATATTCATTTTATTATTTAATATTTACCTTTAATTCATTTTTTTTTTTCAGTATTAGTTGTAGTAATTTTTAGGGATGCACTGATACCACTTTTTCCAGTACTCGCCCGATACCGATACTTTTATTTTTGGTACTTGCCAATACCGAGTAACGATACCAATATTTTTATTGCATTTGTACATTTTTTAAATATTGGGTACAGAAACCAAAAGAGTATGTATAATGTTAGTTGGTTAACTTCATTTATCAAATAGATACAGTCAAACCTAAATTTATTCAGACACCTTCAACATTTCTCACATTATCACAGTTTATTCGCTATAGTTTAGAAAATGGTAATAAAATATAACAAGAACTCAGTTAAACGGAGTCAGAACAAATTCAGCTTGATAATGTCAGATAACTTTGATAGAAAGGTATGTAATGGATTACAATAAACCAAAAATTCTTCAGACAGCTGTTAGTATGACAATATTTACACAACTATCAATACTTAGTCGGGCAACCCTTAGCCTCAATGACAGCCTGTAGTCTCCTGGGCATGCTGTCATCCAGCTTCATGCAAACCTCAACCTCAGTGTTTTTTCCCAAACTCGGTCTGAATCATTTTTGGTCCCAAATTTTTTATCAGTTTTACTGGTAGTCCACTGTATGAAGAATTTTTGGGTATAATTTATCACGGTTTACTTTATTTTGCTATCCTCACTTACATAAATGAACTATAGTGTCCTGCACCCACTAAAAAAAAAAAATCTAAAATTATATCTGGTCTCTGAATCATTTTTGGTTTGACTGTATATCCTTCGGTTATTTTCACACTTAATTATGCCCATTAAAATGTATTTTACAAGTTTTTGTTACTGTCACTGTTCATTTTTTTGCTCTATGGTACATCATCTTTAATTTAATAGCATTAAAGCAGTGGCTTAGTACTGTAATCACGCGCTTAGCTGTAATAATGCAGGGAACCACTCGTTATAAATCTC